CTCCGTCCCCAGGCAGCTGCTTCACCTTCAAGCCTGCGAGCGATGTTCAGGCAGCGGAGGAGATGGGCTCATTTCCAGCAGCCTGCAGGACATCCTGACTGCCAGCCGTGCCTACGGAAGCAGAACCATCCCTTCCTGAGAGCCGGACCCAGAGGTGACGGGGCCTGGTGGGACAAAGCCGAGGTGTGGTTGGCAGCCCTGGGGAGTGAAATTGTTGGGCAGTGTCTGTGCTTTGGGTGCCAGCATTGCCACTGAGCTGGCAGTGCTGAGGTGACTTTGGGGCTGCAGTACTGTGGGGACAGGATGAGGGGAGAGAGGTGCTGGGGTGTGGATCAGGGCAGGGAGGCTGGGTGAGAGAGCCCATGCCCACGAGGCTGGAGGGCAGAAATGGGCATAAGGATTGGCTGGTCATCAGTGGGAAAACAGGTCCCAGTCTGGAGCTCGAAGGTGCTCTTTGCACAGAGGGAACTGGTTATGAAATTATGGCCAGAGGTGCAAGATGACCCCATGGAAGAGAAGTTTTAAAATGCAAGTGAACAAACAGCAAGTACCAGGGATAAATTCAGATGTTCCTTTCCAGAGCACCAACTCCATAGGGACCCCATATCTTGCTGAAAGTAAAGCCACACCTATAGGGACTCTTCAAGGCCCTTGAGACTGTGTCACAGAACTCTTGAGTCCTAACATCCCAACAGATAATCCTAATCCATGGACAGAGGACACAGGGGATCCCATGTCTGGCACTTCACTGGCTAGGTCAGGGTGAATGGCTGGTGTGGTAACAGCTGGGACTCTTCCCTCCATGCGCATCCCTCCATCACCAACCCTCCCAGCACCACTCTGGCATCACCCCTGACACCCCACTGCCACCAAGGTCAGAGCAGGAAGGAATGCTGGGGGACAAGGGATGTTCCTGTTCTGGGACCTCACAGGAGGGAGGCAGGAAGGTGAGGGGCACAGCAGTGACCTGCCTGGAGCCATTTCCTTCAGTGCTGCTTCCTCCCATCCCCTGCTGGATTTTGCCCCTGGACACTGTCATGTTCCTTTTTACTCACACCAGGTTGCAGTGGCTGTCCTGGTGTCCTGGTCCTGTCCTTACAGCAAACTGACCCTGGGCTGGGATCTGCCCCCAGACTGGACATTGTCTCCCCTCAAAGCCAGGTGTGCCCTGGCCCCAGTAGTCCCTGCTTGTAGGATCCAGCAGCTCTGCTCCAATGCTGCAGAGCTTGTGATGTGACATGGGACAAGCAGGGCTGCACACGAAAGGCACAGTCCTGGCCAGAGCATCCCCCAGCTCTCTGCTCCCCACTGCTCAGACACCTCTGTGAGCCCAGCCAGGGTCCCTCAGGAGGAGCCAGCTGGCAGCATCCTCCTCAGGCAGGTGCATTCCAGGGAAAGGAATGGAAGGAGGGAGGGCATGTCAGAACTTCCCTGCTTGAGGTCTCTGCCCACCAGCAGGGATGAGCACTGATGAGTGACCAGGGACACCTGCAGGTGTGGAAAATGTAAACCCCCTCCCTCTGAATTATTACAATTTTGAAATTAAGGGGCTCTCAGGCAAAGATATGGCAGTAGGAATAACAGTT